ATTTTTTTTTTTTTTTTTTTTTTTGGGGGGGGGAGGTAATCTTGAGACAAATAGCAATGGAAATTCAGTCTTTACCAAATTTCCTTTTAAGAGGATAGATGTGTCCTTTATGTGTATGATATGGCCATTATTTCGTGTTGTAGCTTTTATCTTGATATGTTTACTAAAAAACGACTGCAGAGGATTTACATGAAAAAGGTAGAAAGTTATATGAGGTGAACTTCTAGTGCTGTTCTTCACTTTATGTTTATGATCTATGGTTTTGTGCCATTTATATTCAACTTGGATGACTCTGTCCTTGTAGAATGTGACAACATACGGAGGGTAAATAGATGCTGTGTCGTTGTGGGGCTTACCCTTTCACAAAACAACGCATGTTTTCTTCGGCTTCAGTTAGACCACTAAACTCCAGTTGGGGCAAGTTGACGTAGTAGTATTGGTTAAAGTGCGCATCATTGACACTTATTGTGTAATACATGCAGCAGGAACATTATAATAGCATTAAGTCACCAATACGATTAAAAAGTGGCAAGACTATCGTAGATTAAGGTTTAGGTGCTAAATGGAAAGGGATAAAAACAAGGTTAGTGGCATCTGGCTTCTTTTTTGAAATGCAACTTAGTTGTCTACAGTTTTGAGCAGTCTAATTTTTCGACTAATTTTTCGACTTAGGTTCTTTTGTAAAGCATTGATTAGCAGTTATTAGAAGGCTGTGTTTTAAACTCCTCCAGTGCTGGGCATACCAAACTTACAGACGTGTTGGACTACACATATATTTACAATTTGAAAGTTATCTTTAAGAACACTTTCTGAATTCCATTGATACAGTGTTTTTGTGAGATTTTAGATTTAATTTTCAAACCCAGGTTGAGTGTTTGATGACAAATTATTTGTCTGAAATGATGTTACATTTTAATGATCGTTCAAAAGTTGTTTTTATTTGTTTTGCTCAATTTTTAGTTAGGTGTTCAACTCTATTTTATTGATATACACATGTTTGCTGCAGGCTTTTTTTTAATGAATATCTTTCAAAATTGTATTAGTTTTTTACTGTAGAAGCTGACGAGAAACTCCAGCAGAGGACCTGATAGCATCGTTAAGTTCCTTGTTTTGTTAGATATTTATCATGATGATATAAAGATAAATAACTAGGGTTCTTAAGTTCATGATTTCTTTCTAGGACAATGGCATGGAGGGGGGCGCCACAGATCAAGACGTTGCAATGAATCTCTCCACGTCCAAAGAACAGCAAATACAACACCGTCAACATCAACAGCAGCAGCAGCAACAACAACGTATGACAACCAACGGGAATGTTGAACACGAAAATGGAGATGTTTCCCATGTAAGATAAGATCTTGATTGCATGATTTTGTTTATGATATCATAATGTTGGTTAATAGTATAAAAAAGCAGTGAAAGAAAAAATGAAAAACAAAATACTTTTCTAATTACATGTTTGCAATTGTTTATTTGTTATTGTGCAAGATGTAATGTAAGATGAGAGAGAGAGAATGGAAAGCACTACAATTGTTTTTAAACACTATATATTTTATTCCGTCATCAAGCACTTGCGTGTCTCACCTTTTCCAGTTTGCGGTGAGTGTCGCGTTCACTCTGAACAGTGTGATATATGCCCTGTCCTAACCCGTCACACTTTATCTCACCTGTCTGGTCATACCTCCGTGTGGGGAGGCATCTTAATTGCACAAGTACACATGTTAACTGAACAAAAACGGGTCGCGCACGTGACGTGATAGTTTTATAAATATCCAATCACATTGCTAAGAGCTAACCTGCACATTGCATGTCAGCACAGGCTTAAAAGAACTAAGACAAAGAGAGCACATGAATTTTTATATATATATATATATATATATATATATATATATATATATATATATATATATATATATATATATATATATATATCCTAACTGAGAACAGGAAGAACACCTGAGAAATTGACTACGAGCAAAAAAGAACAAAAAGGGTGTTGAAAGGTTTCCCTTTATATCAGGGAGGCACTGGTGTACAAATGGTTTCCTTGGTGTTCGTGATAATAACGTGAGGTAGATACACTTTAGGTTCCCGCCTTATTATTACCTCAGCCCTGTTATTATGTTATCTCTCTCCCCCCTATCATCCCACCAGGAACATAATTATAAAACCTTGTTGTCCTGTCTATCTGAGATAAGGGGAAGATTTGTGACAACTACAATTATAATTGCACCCATTTCATTACGGGTCTATTTTTGAATTGCTGAGTGCATATCCTTCATGTGTACCAGGTACTATAATTAGGTTAATTAAATAGACATGGGTGAATGTTGGCAGACTAACACCTGATTTCAGGATTTTCAGTTTATATATATATATTTTTTTTTTCATATAGTCTAAATGCGATGAAAAATTGCTAGCTTTGTTTTAAGGTTTTACAGTTTTTACTATCACACATGAGTATGATGTTCATGTTTCCTGTTTAACTTAGCAGTATTATGTCCAAAAGTATTATTTGTAACTTTTGTTTGAAGAACATATGTAGTGTAATTGTATGTGAAAATACATGATTTATACGATAAAACAGGCTAATTTATACAAGTAAGTTTTCTGACACACATGAAAGGACAAATGTCTCAAGATAATATAAAGAAAAGAACAGAACCAATTACATGAACTAAGACTAAAAGTAAAATAAAGAAAATTCAAGATGAAATAACAAGAACTAAATGAACTAAAAACAATTATTTATATTTATATTTATTATAACCAAATAAAACTAAATTAAACTCTTGAATTACATAAATAACAAAAAGCAAACCAATCAAGTCAGTATTTACAGTGCCTGGAAGTACATGATACACGTGAAAGGGTGAATGTGCCACGAAATGAGGCAGGGCGTGTTTTATACCTAAACAAAGACACACGAACACAAACGAAAAGACACGAACACACTACACTAACACAATCACACCTCACACATAAATATGTTACATATATAAAGATGAAGTTATTAGGTTTGACTGTAGATGTCAGAGCAGTGTGGAGCACTGTGTTGTGTTAATTAAAAGATCCACCAACAACCACTGTACAGTAAAGTTATGTGTAGTAATCTTAAAATGCTAAAAGGAACGTTTACATTCTATATCCAGGATCTCAGCTCGCTGAAGATGAACGGCACCAAGCGTCCCAGTAGCACACAGCGATCCAAGTCAGATCTTTCTCCTCAGCAGGTGTCTGGGGATCTCAGCCAACAGAATGCACTGATGTTGATGTCGTCGTCGCAGGGACTGTCTCCGCAGCAGTTACAGCAGTTATTACAGCAGCAGCAGCAGTTATTGTCGGGTCCACAGCAAGTACAGATGATGCAACAGCAGATACTACAGCAGCAGGTAGGTTTGAGGAGGTTATTACATATGTTTATTGTTTTTTTTTTCTTTCTATGCCCCAAAAAAAGTAGAGGTTAAGCTGCAGTTGAGTTTTTAAAGGGGCAGCTTGTACGTCTGGACCGTCCTCCCCCCCCCTCTTTTTTTGTCATCAGGCCCTGAAGACCTCATATTACAAGAATATTATGCAGAAGCTGTGGCTTTTTTCATTTCAATCAACACTTCTCTTTACTTTTTCATGCCCTTTTTTCAAAATATATGTCAGGAATTAATTAAGTACTCCTTACAATTTTTGATCCAACTATTTTTGAGCTCAGGTCCATCTGAATGCTATATTTAGCACTTCTTTAATTCATTTGATTTATAAGGAAACATATATCATTGACACATGGTCTGCTGTTATTCCCCACTGTTTCTCCCCTAAATTCCAGACCACTGTTTTCCTGTGTGTTCTGATCTGGTTTTGCCTTTTACCAGAGAAAAAAAAGTAGTTGCCATAGCAACCAATGCGGTTTGTTTGTTCAGTGCCCATTATAGGTTTTCTGTCCTAAATGCCTCGCAAAGTTGCCATTATAAGAGCCGCATATCTCACAACAGGACGAGTGTGATCTTGCACTCGAGATTTACATTTGAAATACCTTAAACATCTTTTTATAAGGCTTTGCTTTCATGTCACCTGACATTTGTGATCGTAAAGAAAGTGTCCCTGCTAGATTGTTGAACGTCATATTCAAATTGTATATCAATAACTCATGCAGAAGAAAGAACAACAGGGAAATATGATTCTTATCAGCTTGAACAAAAGCAAACCTGTTTTGCTTGTTTAAAGGTTGTGTGAGTTTTATATTTTGATATATGAGTGATATTTTTTACCAAAAGGACAGTAGAAAAAAACACCAATAAAAGGCAGAGGAATAGTGTGAGTAGTTCAGCACAGTGTGCGGTTTCAAGTGCTGAAGGATGGACACAAGTACCATTTGATTAGAACGTCTAAACATAGGAGGCCATTCTAATCACCCTCTATTCCACTCATCATCTAAAATTACCCTTTAGTTTTTAAAAGATGTTTTCAGAGACCCAGGTTTGGTTTTGTAATTGTTGGTCTCTGATAGTTTCGTAAGTACAGGGATGGCATACAAATATAAATTTATATGTTATTACTTCGCATTTCAAAGCACACGTGTTGGCCTTGAAGGGCTTGTTGGTTTTATTTCAACGTCATCACCTGGATACAACCAGATTAGAAACCACAGGGCTACTCTAGAGCTTTGTGTCCGTCATGAGATTGGGAAGATCTTCAATTTCCTCATGAGTGTTTTCTTCTTTTTCCACAAGTCTATATAACTGATTGCATAGTTAGTCCAGGCGGTTTATCTCCCTTCTGAATCGGTGATAGTACCGCCAGTGCACAATTTCTCAGCTAGACATACTGCAGTGTTGTGACTTTAGACTACGTAGGAGAGTATGCAATTATGTTTTTTTTTTTTTTTAATTCAGATGCACCATGTTTTTCTGTGACCTGAGTGGGATGAAATGTTGCTTCATCTGAACTGAAAATATAGATATCAACTGGGTCTCTTTCGAAGGCCATTCTCCCTGAAACTTTGTTAGGACAAAATGTGTAGTTTCAGTTTTTTACTTGTTTTTTTAATTGACGTGTGTGTGTGTGTGTGTGTGTGTGTGTGTGTGTGTGTGTGTGTGTGTGTGTGTGTGTGTGTGTGTGCGGGCGCGTGTGTGTGTAACTGTACCAGTCTTCCTAAGGTTTCAGATAGGTTGTAAATTCCACAAAATCTTGTCAGTAGTTAACACACCACCTCCAGTTGGGGGTCCTTATTTCTTACTAGCCTCTCTTCACACTGCTGATAACGTATCCCATCCATTTTCAGCAAAGCCACAAATTCCACGAACAAGTTCTCCAGCAGCTCAACGAGCAGCTCCAGTTCAACATCCTCCAGCAGTCGCAGCTTGTCCAGCAGCAAGCCAGCGCCCAGGGGGAGAAAAAGCCACAGAATCTAAAACAAATCCAGTCACAGCTCCAGCAGTTGGCAGTCCAGCAGCAGCAGCTCATCCAGCAGATCCAGATGCAACAAAGACAGTATTTACTGGCACAGGGCATTGGGCTGCCGCTACATCAGTTTGGAGTGCATCCAGGTAAGGCTGCAGTGTGTGAGGTCACAGAGTGTGTGATGTCATATGTGATGTCACAGAGTGTGTGATGTCATGTGATGTCACAGAGTGTGTGATGTCATGTGATGTCACAGAGTGTGTGATGTCATATGTGATGTCACAGGGTGGTTGATGTCATGTGAAGTCACAGGGTTTGTGTTGTCACTTGATCTATCATGGGGTATGTGTTATCAAACATGTGATGTCTAGGATTTGTGCTGTCACGTGTGTGATGTCACAGGTTCAGTGATGTCACAATATATGTGATGTCACAGGTTCAGTGATGTCACAATGTGTGTGATGCCACAGGTTTAGTGATGTCACAGACAATCATTAAAAGTGTAGGCTCCGTGCATATGTCTAGTATATTACTTGATTGGATCTGAAGTTGGCGATAAAATGGCACTTTATTTGCGCTGAATAGAATCCATGTTGTGATTCTGAAAGATAAATGACGTTATGTATCAAATCTTAGTGGCCATGTCCAGTTACTCTTTGATTCTAAGCCACATGATGCCATGGGTTTTGTTTTTTTTTTTGTTTTTTTTTTCATGAATATTAATCTTCACTTTGGTTTGTAAATACTGGCTTTATGGTAAAACTCAGAGAGTGCATTCAGTGAGCTTTCCCCGTCACTTTATTTTGTAATCGGCCACATATGCAGACATAATGGTTGCCGAGGCAACTTCAAACGCCCAATTCTGGAAATCATCAACAGAAGCTTTACCAAGTTCATAGTGTGATGATATTTGTTGTTACGAGACAAATGTTTTGGTTAAGTGCACGAGGAAGAAAGATAGCTGGTGGTATGTGGATTACATGGCTTCCCTTCCCTTCCCACCCTCTAGTGACGTATGGCTGTGCATTCTGTTGTAATCGTGGAATATTGGAGTCGGGCGATTGTCACTTGTAAGGTTTATTGTGGCAAATATTGTCAATGTATGACTTCATAACACAATAGTTTTTATTGGATGACCCAGTCTTGAGTAGGCTGTGTTATTTGTTGGGTACAAAGTTGTAATTTTTTTTTTTTTGTTATTAATTGGTTGAGAAGCCTGCAAGGTTTTAGGATTTTCCTTTTATTTGTTTTTTACCTGTGCCAAATGAGGAATTGTTTTCATAACGGTTTGTTTGTCTGTTAGCAGTTTTGCGCAAAAACCAATGAACAGATTTTGATGAAACTTTCTTGATAAGTCACAAATGGACCAGTGAAGAAATATTTAGACTTTGGTGATTATCCATTAATTAATTATTAATAGTCAGCATGACCTGCTTTGTTTCACACCATACCATCAGATCAGATGTTGTGATATAATTTTTTACAAGATGTTTGTACAATTCGTTAAAAAACACTTCTTGTTTTGTACCTAGTGCATCTCATCTTTCTTGGATTATTTATTCATTTATGCAATAATTCACCTATCAGTACTAGTAATTTAATTGCTCTTTATTTTTGGTGCTGCAGATTAGTCTGCCATTTACTTTCTGTGGCTCTTATCTCAGTTTCAGATTGTTTTTTATATTCCTGAGTTACATATTCAATACACAATTATTTAAGGTGAGATATTTATATCTTCTGTTCTGTTGAGAATGTAATTTCAGAGTTCTGACCTCAAAGATTTCATCTGTTATTGCTGAGAGAAAAGAGAAATTGAAACTTTGAAAACATCAGTCCTGTTTAGTCTATCTCCTTCCTGTAGTGGCTTGCTTAGATGTGAAACAGTTCTTGTTTATAGGTCCAATTTTCTGGTGTTGTTGTTTTCAAACCTTCATGTGAACCAAGATCCAATTTATTTGTTCCATCATATATGTAAACTGGTTTGGGTTCATAACCTATACTCTGTATAGTCTGATAACTGTGATTTTAAAGAGTGCAAAACAATCAACCAATGTATTTAGATTTTAATTCAGTATAGGGTGGTTTTCAGTTTATGATGATTGTACTTTAAAAGCACACATAATCAATTTTGAAAGATGATGAAAGTTTAAGTTTTTTTTTTTAAATTTTGAAAAAAGGGGTTCAAATGAATGGGCTTATATTTATTAATTGTTATAAAATATTCAAATTTTATGCTAAAAAATCTGCTTTTGTTTAGGGGAAGATACAGAACTTTGCAGTATATGTTATAAATAGCATTCCTTTTCTCCTTGCGTGCTAGTAAAAGAATACTTTTATTATGAATTAGAAAAGAGAATGGCATATTTCATCAAACCAAATGGTGACATAATGCATTGAATGTAAACCGCAAGTGGAACTTTTTTTTCTTACTTTGTCCTCAGTGACATGGGATGTGCTAATTTACTAGTGAAGGTGTTATATCAGAGAAATTGGGTGGTATCAAAGTATCCTCAAGAAAACGGCCCAATTTCTTCTACTGACAAATCACAGCTCAACCCATCCCTGTACTTTGATTGGATGTTTTATATCGTTTCTAATTAAATAATTTAACGCCAGATATATGGCCAGACATTGACACCACCATGTTTTCTCCTGCATTTTATGAGAAAATATCATCATTAGGTTCTATTACACTTTGTCATTTTAAGGCCTGAATTTGGAAAGATTATTTGATTTGCTAGATATGTAAAGATTGTGGGACATTTTTAAATGCATAAAGCGTACCTGTGTTTACTGCTTAAAATTTGTGATGACTTAATTTAAAGAAATACATTTTCTATGTCAGACAGCATGTAGGCATATGTCATCTTGCATGTTATCAGTTTTTGATGACTTTTTTAAATCTTTTTTTTTAATGTCTAGACTCTTTTATGTAAATAAAACAAAGAAGCTTTTGATTTATTTAGTATTTTAAAGATGAGGCCAGGATCTTTCTATAGAACTCTCATTTCTGCCCTTTTTGCCCAGTTCTTACACATTGAGGCATGGCTTAAGAGTTTAATCCAACTTTCTCAAATGGATACCTCCTTTGTTGTCTTTTGTCTTGACTTGCTAAGAACTCTTTCAGTTGAAAATGTGATGTTGAGAATAATACAGTGAGTGTTTTCTGGTATAACAGTTATTAATTTTACTATCATGTTACTTTTGCTACGTTTGATTTTAGTTTCCTTTGGGCCCTAACAGACCTAAGTAGCATACCCTTTTTTGTTGTCAAGAATCCTGCATTCAGATTTTTGATTTCACATCTCAAGACGATTGAAACAAACAGAATGATGGTTTTCTCTTTGATTTCACCTGGTAATTTAATCCCTGCATGATCTCTGTCGTGTGTAAATATCGTCCGTGTGCTCAGGTCCACACAACACAAAAACCTTTTCGTGTGATGAAGTGACGGCATGTGTGAGCACATGTAGTCATCCATTATAGAGTGAAAATCAATTCTAAGTTTGACACAACACTTCGGGACATCAATGAAGCAAAGGGAAAGCTTCTGAAAGGGTGGCGGAAGTTGGTTGGGTTATTTTAGGCGATGTCTTTGAGGGGCCGGGGCGGGTACCGGGCTGCCTGCTGGGGGTGAAGTTGACGGGGGAATGCCGAGTGTATTGTTTGTGGCATGAACTAAACAACAAGAACATAAATATTATATTATAGATTTCGTCGTAACAGAGTTTTAATATTATGAATGACTGCTGTTTGTTTGGTGTTTTACTTGTTTTGACTCAGTGGTGAGATTCGAATAGTATGCTTGAATGAGTAGCGATTATTAACAACCAACTGAAGGTTCTTAAAAAAGAAAGTCATTTATGTAGAGGTTTATTGCCTCAGTTATTTTTCATTTTTTGCAGTGCTAAACCATTTGCATTAGGATATGCAACTCACTCTAGACTTGCTTGTTTGACGATATACATAATATTTTTTAAAGCCTTCTTGTGAAGCATGGTAGCATGTTACTGAAATGTTAATCTTTTTTCTTCAAAACCTTCTGTCATTAACATGCAGGGATTGATAGTGTGTTGAAATTTTTTTTTTCTGAAAGAGTATCAGTCACTTTTTAATTTTTTTCTGCTATTTTCCCCTTTTTTTCATCAATGAGAAATACTTTTTTTCTTTTCAAATCCCTTTGCTATTTGTTCCTACATGTCACTGATTGTGTAAGTTGTTTACACGTAATTCAATAGTTACACCGTTTGTAAAATGTCAATGTTGCTGGTATAAAGTGACACTGCCATAGTTGTACATATCAAAATGCACCCTTCCAAAAGGTATGCCAAGCAGAAATAGCAACGGTTCAAGTTACGGTTAATGACTGAAAGGAAAAATAATAATAAGGACAAAAAACAAGTAAATCATTAAATTTTAGATACCATAGTAGAAGAAAACAAGTAGAACCATGATAATTTCTCTTGTATTTCATTTTTAAAAGATATACTTACAAAAAGTTATGCTTAACTTCAAATCTACATTGCAACCATTTATAAGCTTAATTGTAAGTATGATGCATAAGTCATATTTTAGAATAAAATCAGCAATATCCTTGACATTAGCGCTTGACAGCGTTATTTATATTTTTTCTTGCCAATGTGTGCAAATGCCCATGGTATGTTACTAGTACATGCATATGCACAGAGAGGGAGAGAGAGAGAAAGACTTGCACAAACACCCACATGTGGCAAAAAAACATTAAATTATGTTTACAATATCCACACATCTCGGGGGAATCCTGTCGCTCTTATCTCTCAATATCCCTACAGTATAAACACAATTTACAGGTCTCAATACCAAGTCACCCAACAGAAATTATAAGTTTTCATGTAACCATGGTGACTATCAATTCTTTGTGTAATAGATTGACCCATTATAGGGCTCTCTGCAGAGTTCTCCACGTACTGAACATATTAGTTCTATCTCAAAATCAACACAAACATTAAAAGTCTGGTCTCCATGACGACCGAACGCAAATCGCCTTAGAATAATATGGCGTAAGAAGAGCAGGGTTGCTTTATAGGGCAGATACACACTTCAAGTTGGGTTCTTTCTCATTGACGTCAAGGTATTATAAATAACAATTAACAGCCTCAATAAAACAATAATATCAACTGTAAGGCATCAGGGCAGGCTGATGACCCAAAGTAAACTGTGGTATTTTATTTGGAAACCCCATAGTAGAAGTAGTGGTGGTGGTGGGTGGTATATATCTAATGATGGTGCGGTGTCAGAAGGCTCTTAATTGTTGTTTGTGTCAGGTGGAAAGGAGCTGGTTTCTTCACAAAGCTGACGTGCGTGCCGACAACAGTCGTAATATTGGACCATGGCCAGTCGTTCAGGTTGTCTGCTGACTGTTGTTATGTATCATTGTCTGGGGCATGGGTTATATACGTAATATTATAGTAATATACGTGTGAGTGAAATAGGTTCATTCATGACAGAGGTCGACCTGGCTGTAGCTAGGGTTACTCATGGTGTGTTTCCATCAATGGGAGATGATCTCATCTTGGCGTAAACTGGCTGTTGTCTACTAAATCAGGATAAGGGGGCTGTGATAATTTGTTTGATATTTGTCTGCCTTTTGTGTACAGAAACTCAAGTTCAAGGCCTTGGGTAGTTGTGGAGTTTATACAAGATGTGTGAAAATATTTTTGGCTGTTTATTGCTTTTTTTCCTTAGAGCAAGTTTGGTAGTGATAAGACGGTGATTTGAGTAAAACAAAAAGAAAGAAAAAGATATATTATCCAAATGACACATTATTTAGATATTTTATTCATCTCTCTCTGTAAGTTGAGTTATATCTGACTTACTTTGTGGCAAGGCAGGCTGGCAGTTCTTAAATATTGGGTTGCAGAGTTGAGCATTTTTGCGCCAATCCAAGGTGTAAGCATGAGAAGGTGGACCTAAATAATGGTGAAAGAAAAAAATTGGGACTGCTACATGGGTGGAACTTGAACTTAACAATGCATAACATGAAGTATGCCGTAGTGACTTGTTGATGTTATCATGAGTCAACTCCCAGTTTAAGTATTGTAAATGAAGAAATGTTATTGTTTTTCTGTTGTGCATTTAGCCTCACCAACAATTTGTGTTAACTACAAAGTTGTTAAGTTAAGGAGGTGAGGTTTGTGCCAGTTAGAAACACTTAGATTGGAAGTTACTATGCAGGGATGATACTCTATCCCTTTTTGGTCCATTTCTTCCTTTTTATGTGTGAAGGATGATACCCAAAGTTGCTGGGTTTTGTGAAGTGAATGGGGAATTCAGGGGATCTTCTTCATTTTTGAAATCCTTTTCTTGCCTTGTAGCTAGATATGTCGTAGGTTGTGCTTTCATTTGCAGATTTGAAAATCTGTAAAAAAACTTGTTGCAGATCCTGATACTATGGGAAAATGACTTATGATGTCAAGGCCAGGATGGTGCCGTTTTTTAATTTTTGTAATAGTGTTATTTTCCAACGTGGTGATAATCTGTCATTTTAGTGACTGGGTAATGGGTCCGTGGGGTCACTGAGTACAGATACTATTTGGAGGGGAACGGACTTGTCTTGTGTTTATTTGCTTGGGTAGCAGTCAGTGACTATAATATTAATCCATTGTCCCATAGGGGGCTTGTATTGCCTGTGTAACTGGTACAAAATATGGGAGGGTGGAGGGGGGGGAGGAAGAAGAAAGGTTTCCTGTTGAAATGAAATATCTGATTTATGTAGATATCCAGAGGTTTGGGTATTGTATTTTTGCCCTCACCCCACACCTGTGTAGAGCTGTTCACCTTCACCATTTGCATTTTAAAGAATTTTACAAGGTCCACTTCCCTCTCTTCTTCTGTACACTTTACCCTCTGGTGACAGTTAATATTATAAATAGTAGAAACTCATGGCATTATGAAAGATGTTATTGTGTCGCGTCAACGATTTAGAAAAAATGAAGATATTTCTGTCAACCAAATATGATGTATGAAATTTTATTTGCATCTTCTGTCAGCAAATTCATTTTGAACAAAAGGTCAATCTAGTTCATGTTTTTTATTCAGATTTATTTGGAAGAATAATTTTTTTCAGCTATTTACTATCAATAAAAATCAACAGGTTTAGATGATTTCACTGTCCAACAGAACAATAATCAGGTGTAAAATTGAAACATTTTGATTTTTCTCATTGTAGGAATGTCTCCGGCGGAGTTACAACAGTTATGGAAGGAGGTATCAGGTCAAGGTCACGGCACTGGAAACAGAGACCACAACGAAGACGCTGACACCATGTTAAAAAATGGCACCACCAATGGACTGAATCAACTTCTCGTCTCTGGCGGTGTGCCGTCATCGTTCCCTTCTTTCCTGCCTAATGGATTTAACGATCCTTTTCTACTAGCGGGTACGTATCTTGAATTAAAAATTCAGAGACAGAGCTCACTGAGGGATGTAAACAGAAATATGGTTTTAACTTTAAGACCATCATTTTACACTGACCCAAGATAAGCCAGTAGTGGTAAACACCTGGAAATTTAGTCAGGCTTGAAAATTTTGTCGATAGACGATCTCCCGCTGGCATAATTTTTTTTCACTTTGAAAATTTTGCCAAATTTGAAAATGGGCCTCTCAATAATTTTGAAAAGATGGTCACATAATATGGCTGTGTCCGATTAATGATTTCATCCTGGTTTTCTTTTTACTCTGAGGAAGTGTTGAGGGGATATTTGTCACTTGTTATGTTACTTTCAGTTGGTTTTGTTTCCTCTTGGCACATAAAAAAGTATCTTAGCAACTCACATCAACAGGTCTTTGTAAATATTACCTCTTCCTGGTTTTCTTATTTCTCGGAGGAAGTTTCTGTGAGGGTGTATTTGTCACATGTTATGTTTCTTTGGTTTTGCTTCCTGTTGATATATAAAATATTATTTCAACATGTTGCCATAGAAACTGACACTGTCACTAAAACAATTAACAAAGCCAATTATGTTATTTTAAGTATCATGTGATAAACAATGCTCGAGGATAAATTTCGGTGCATGATTAGACATTTGACCTGAAAATGATAGCGATAAATGATTTTATACTATTATGTCCAAGGAATTCTGTTGTAGATTGACGTTTATTACCTTAACTTAAATATGCACTTGTTAAAAACGCTGACAGGGGTGTCACAAGACAGAGATATAAATACTAACACCAAGGCCATCGCAGTGTATCGCCATGGAAACAGGCATACGTAAAAATTAAGCAGAATCGAGCAGGGTTTTGATAAATAAGGTGTTGATTGTCAATAGTTAGTTGTGCATTAGGTGCTTGTCCGGCTAGCATCACGATGTTTAGATACCCATACTTGCATATGGGATTTGCCTACAAGGATTTTTACTTTCCAAATAATGGCTCAAGTATGCTTGTTTTCTGTTATATTTTAGATTGCATTCATTGCTTTTTTTTTTAAAGTTAATTAATAGGGAAAAGATTTATATTTAATTTGTTCTATAGATAGTGATCAGTATTTTGAGGCTGCTGCGTTAGATCATTGACTTCAGTTCTATTTGACAGATACATTATTAACTTTTCTTAGCTATTTATTTTTTATTTTATTATTATTTTTTTAAAGTTTTAGTCTAACTTGATAACACTGTAAAGTTAGTAAGCTAAATTTTCAATCCATTCAGTAGACTTATTTAGTGACAGCATTGGGCCTCTAAAAGTCACTGTGAATGCTCTGTCACTGGCATGTAAAAGAAACGTAAATAAGTTTAAACTTTCACGAATAATAAGTAATCCTGTAAAGATGCATCTGTATAACCTTATTAGCTTTAATTGTATGTATGTTTATTTTTATTCCAGGAGGCTTGTTAAATCCTCTGAAACCAGACGGGGGAGCAGCTCCAGGGACGCACCCCTTATATGGTCACGGGGTATGTAAGTGGCCCGGCTGTGACACACCCTGTGATGATTTCGCATCATTTTTAAAGTAAGTCAACTGTGCATGATGATTATATTTTTTATACAACAGGGGCGAATCCAGAGATATTTTCTGACAGTCTTCCACATTATCTTTGTTGATCCATCCTCCATTTTTTGACCGTCTTCCGACAGAAAAAATTAGGTAATCATCAATGTAAACTTTGAAATTTGACCGTCTTCCGGAAGACCCAGAAGACAGCCTCAATCCGCCCCTGCACAATGTTCTTTTATTAAGCATTCTATAAAATAACAAAGCCCCTTATAAAGTGTTTGAAATTTTTTCAGATTATTAAATTAGAATGTTAAAGTAACAGTATGTTTTATTAAAAAGAATGTAGGTGAAATAAAAAATTGAAATGAAACTGTCTTTAACTTAAGAAGCCATTATTAAAATACCATTCAAAAATTTCTAAGTACCTTGCTATCCAGAATTCCCACATAAAAAATAGATAAATAAAAATGAAATAAAATAAAACCTACACACAAAGTTTTTTAAAATATTAAACTTTAAAAAATTACATTGGTGGAGAATTGTTTTCCTACAAAATTTTCAAGAATGAGTAAATTTTCAAGTTTTTACTGTACTCAGCATCCCCACACTTGCCATAGCCAGTTAACCGAATTATTTTTTATTGGTCCAAACAGTAAAAACAAATTTATGAAAAGGAACTAAAAACAAACCCTAGTGTAATTAGCACACGTTAAGACCAAACAGAAGATTGTGTTACAAAAAAGCATAAAGCATGGCGTGAAAAGGGCCTCAAAATTCGGTACATATTTATGCAGCGAGACCCTGTGCCCCCCTCTCTCAGTTCAGCTCCTCGTAGCCAGACACGGTGTCCTTTATTGATCCAGTTCTGTCCCTCAATTCCTGTCCAAGATGTATGTCCCTGACAACTCCAAATAAATAACATCAAATATAAATAAAAACCCATTCATTCTGATGCGTAACAATACAACCAGCCGTCTATGTAGGTATGATTTCTCCATAAACATTCTTCTCCAAACAATGGTCTACCTGTGTTCTCCTTCACAAGGAGAGATAGGGCAAGAATTCATGAATAGACAAATAGGGAGGGGCAGGCTGATCTGGGTGCAGATATTGTTGAATTATGCATATATTTGTAATAAACTTCAACGCTGTGACCCATCTCGTATGGTTGAAGACAGTTAATATATGAAATAAATTTTGGTGCAATTGTTTACTGACAATTAGAATTGTTGAAAGATTGTTTTCACCTTTTTTTTTTTTTTTTTTTTATTGGGAACTGGGCTCAATGCAAAGGTTGTTGGTTATTTAGTCTGGGCTGTATGTCATAGGGCAAAGTTTTTCATAACTCAACAACTAAAAATTGTTTGTTATAGATTTAGAAACATCATTACCAAAAGTAGAAAGATGTTAATAGAGCACACTCATAACTTTTAAGTTCTTGAGTAAAGCCAGTGAAAACTTTGTGGTCCATGATGTCGTTCATGATGCTTTTCACGGGGGCGTGCCAGACAATTAAGCTGATTACATTGAAGGATAACTTTTAATCTGAACACAGCCTAAATTCTGCTAAACTCCACTCCCTCCCAGGTAATATGTATCCTGGACTCCTGGGTTCCGTGAAACTGGCAGTAATGCATCCTGATTAAGTCACCCTCTTAATTGACACCATATTATGTTTACTGTGATTTGCAGCTAATTGATATGATGTTCAGTTGCCTTCACGTTGGTTCTAAGAAAAACTATTTTAGGCTGGGGTCAGGCAATGTCAACTTTACTTCACATATATTATGCTCGTTTTATTTAATTTGTAAGGTTTGTGTACAAGAGGTCACATGGGAGGGATTTGTAATGAAGAATATATTGTTATAAAGTTAGAATTGAATGTTTTTTTGTTATGTTTCAATATTAATGCAGTTTTGAAATTAGGCCTAATTGTATTTTTTTTTTTTTTTTTTTTTTTTTTTTTGAGAGTAGCAATAATTGAGAATTTTATTTTTAATAATAAGAATTCCCTGAATTGACTTATTTCACGATTGAAGGGTCATAGCGCATTGTGGAGAAGTTCTATCCACTTTCACATTTGTAGCATATAAAAAAGTAGTGTTTCAGTACTTAAAATGAGAACCCATTTAACTGCGCTTAATTATCTCCCACAAATGTGTGTAACGTGCTGCCCCCCAGCTGTACAAATGACAGGTGTTATGTAGAAAGTCTCGTTGCAGTCAAAATCTCTACTTACCTTGTGTAATCGAGGGGTATTCATCGGCATTCTTAAAATCTTTCCCACAAGGCCATTCTCGGGTGTGGGCAGTGTGATACGTCAAAGAACCGTGAAATGGTCAATGACCTTGTTTTGTACCATATGAATAACTATTGTATAATAACATTTTTATACATAATGATTACAATGCATTAAAAGTGTGTTATCATATGTAAAATAGATAATTGAATCCAAAATAACAGATCATTTAATTCTGAAATATTAGATTTTCTAGTCTTCATTATGCATTATTTTCGAAATTAAAAAAAATTAGAATTTGCTAATCTTAGTCTGTGAAGCCATTGTCAAATGTTGTTTCAAATTATCATCACTTTACCCCCCAACCCTACTTGTTAGAGAAATATGCAAGATTTTCAAAACTTGGCCATTTTAATGCAATGTATATTCTTTTTATTTATTTATTTATTTATTTATTTATTTTGTAATTAGTACTCGTATTTCTGTCCAAAAACCAATGAAAACTTTTTCTGGAAGTTTGTCAACCTTAAAAGAAACCTAAACTTTAGGCAATGAAGTACAGCCATGCTTGACAAAGAATTTCAATCAAGCATGCTTAAAAAAAATTCATTTAATGCAGAAATATTTGAATAAAAAACATTAACTTGTGTGCCACATAAAAATCCATTTACAAGCCAAAAACCAGTTTAGTCACTATCATGTAACAATTGATTCTATTATTTTGGAAGTTTTATAATCAGTTGAACCTGTTTACAAAGTCAATGTCCTGGTTATTTGCTCGTCTCCTTTGTAAAAAAAGGCCTATTGTATTCCTTGTCCTGATTGGTGGATTATGGGGTCATCCAGTGGACTATTGGATGCAAATTTTTCCTCTCGAAAGAGGCACCAAGCTAAAATTAATGGAGATTGAATATTTACTGAACATAAAGCGTTGCTTTCACTGCTTCCTTTGTAGATAGGACACTATGTTTTCTATAGCTTTCCATCAGGGAACTATCAATGACTTCTTTTGTAACATTGCATGTTTATTGTTTGTTTGTCGGCAACTGGCATTTCGTTGACAGTTTGTGAGATTTATCTTTTCAAGAACAAAGGCCAGCATTGGGCTTTGAATGCTGCTTTATTGCCGTTACTAATTTTTTTATTTGCAGCACAATAAGGTTCTTTTCACATTGAGCAGTACACTTATCTGACCTGGACTGCTTTGAGAGGTAGACGGCTTAATCAACCTGATTATTATATAATAGGGTCAACCGTGATGAATATGGCTAATTTGTTAACTTAAAATCTGAGATTTAACAGCAGGGGATGAACTTGTGAAAGGAAGATAAAAAAGTGAAGTTACATGTAAATATTTGTCAAAGTGGTCCCATCCAGTTCAGTACCCCCACTGTCCTGGTGACATCCAGTAGTAGGAATAAATATTACCACTTTATGTAATGATACTGTAATGTTCCTCTATTGTACTGATTTTAAAACAGGCAGTTCAACAGTGCACATAAGAATCCAGATTGTACTGTATTGTTACTGTAACTGTATTGTTTCTGTTACTGTATTGTTACTTCTACTGTGTCATTACTTGTACAGTGATGTTACTGTTACTTTTTTCTGTTACTGTATTGTAACTGTGACTGTATCATTACTTATACAGTGATGTTACTATTCCTGTATTGTAACTGTTATTACATTGTTACTGTATTGTTACTGTTTTATTACAGACATATCAATAATGAACATCAGTTGGATGATAGAAGCACAGCTCAGGCGAGAGTCCAGATGCAGGTCGTCAGTCAGCTAGAAATACAGGTAATTATTGATAACAGAAATACAGGTAATTGTTGAGAACAGAAATACAGGTAATTATTGATAACAGAAATACAGGTAATTGTTGAGAACAGAAATACAGGTAATTGTTGATAACAGAAATACAGGTAATTGTTGAGAACAGAAATACAGGTAATTGTTGAGAACAGAAATTCAGGTAACTGTCTATAACTATAATATACAATGTAAGACAAGACAATCATTTTTGGTACAATTTTAGCTCTCCAACTGACTCAACTGGCCTGATATTATAGATGTTACAAAAAGTGTCATAGATCTTCATATAGTAATTTTTTCCTGAAGTCCAAGTTTCTGATTTGTGATGTGCTGATGTAATGGAAACTAGTGAATTTCACTCACAGCATCAAAATTAAAAAGGTGGACCTTGCTAATTAAGGAGAAATCTCTAAAATTTCCAGGATTTTATTTATTTTAATATTTTTATTATTTTTTTTTTCTCTATCAGTATTTAACACATATAGTATGGCTTTAACACCTCAACTGTTTTCAATTCACCTTTTTGCCCCATGGTACTGATTACTAGAAACTTTAAAATTAGCACGTCAATCTAGCTGTCATTGTGGCAAAAAAAATGCCAAAAATATGACGTAATATTTCACGTCAACTGACACAAAGGTGAGAGTTGAGCTAAGAGATCTGATGACTTCTACCTGGTGTTGTTCACAATCAGATTCAATATCAGTGCACTTTTCGTACAATTGGGGAGCAAAACTACTTGAATTCTAAACAGATAACAAAACACGGACAAGATTTATGGTCATATGAAAAATAAATTACTGACTTACAGAAAACAGACAATAAGATGATGCATATGGATGCTTTATGTTTAATGAAGATTGATGATAAATAAATTCAAAGAAAAAGATATGTTACAGTGACGTCTTAAAATCTGGGTGAATGTAGTTCTTCCTCGAAGTGATCTTGGTGACGATGGTGCATATATTTATGCATTTATTAATTTGTTGGAATAAATGACGTAAAACGCTAAGTGAACTTTCAAATGTAGGATTCCAAGTAGGAAGGACTTCTATGCACTTGTTTGTCACTTGAATGGAAAATAATCAGAATGGAACTTTTGCTTAAAGGGATAATAACTCTTCGTTTTGGCCAAAAAATGAATTTTCCTGGAGTAAACAACAATTTTCCCATACTTACCAATAGTTAATGAATCCATTTTTACATTCAAAGTTAGTCCCTGGTTTTTTTCTAAAAAGTTTGGTTTTTTGTTAAAATCTCTTAAGAGATTATAGCAGAGTATAGCTATCAATGGAGGTCACGTGGTCTGAAGACAAGCTCAGATATCAGAATAACAGCTAAAACTGCCGTTTTTGGGGTAAAACAGAATATATTATATTTCTATGAGTTGTTCACAATGTTTTTATTGTGAAATATAGATCTCATACAAAGAGTTATTATCCCTTTAAATACATTTGGCAATGTTAAAGTTGTTCATAAATATAGATTACATAGTAATATCTTAGTCACTGAAATTGCATAATTATTATCAATTAGTAAAGTTTGTGTGTAATCAAATATTAAGAGCAAATGATCAAAGGGGGGAGTGGGGAGGTAACACTACCTGGATGCTACAGTAAAACTTCAAATGAGACAGTTCACTAAGATGTAAATAGAAACAGTAATAAAATGTCTCATATACCAAATGATAAATGAGACGCAAGGTACGGTAGCTTCTTCAACAGCAGTTCCGGTGTTGATAGACATATTTACTCCCAAGTAAAAAAATATGTCTGGGAGATTACCAAAATATTCCTGCATCATGAAATGTATTAATTTTCATTGTTGTCTGGTTGCGTACATCATGGTACATCACATGTTCTGATTAACTTTAATATAGAACTGGGGCATGGTAGCTGCATGTAGCTTGGTCCTGTCTTACATACAGGGATGTCAGCATTAAGGCATTTCCTGGGCCTATTTTGATATTTTATTTATTTATTATTATTATTTTTTTTTTATTTATTTTTTTTATTGTAATTCTGATGTTGATTACTTACATGATTTTATTTCGGTACATTTTGAGTGGTGTAATTTGGCTTAAAAAAGAATTATACCCAAGTTAAACTTTCGGCCCAATCAGTTGAAAAATTGATTAAAGTTGATCAATTGTTTCTATATTAATTTGTCAAAATTGTATAGAATTAGAAATACTTTTGGAGGTTTGAGCACGGGACAATGATGTAAAAATCCAAGGGTAAAGTAACTAGTCTGGAGATTTTAAAGTTAGTCTATATTCAGTTGAAATTCACCTTTAGGTGTAAGCTGTTTAGAACCAGATCCGTTTGTAAATCATAATTCCCCCCAAAGGTGTCATGCAGTGCATTTTTTTTTTTGTCAGCCGTGAGTGACATTGCCAGTGTCCAAGATAAAGTAGTTCTAGTTGGGAGAACACTGGCAGTTTACCTGTGACTTAACTCACCTGCTGTGGTCTTACCTCCACTGGCAAACTCTAGGAGGTAGACCGCTATTCTCAGGTGATAATTACCTCCACTAAGAAACTTGTTGATAATTTTGTTGGTTTGTAAGTTAACGTCAAACTCAGCAAGTTCGTATGGAGTGTGATAATGTATGGAGAGGGATAATTGATCTGCGAATGATGCGGCATCTTTGTGGAATATAAGGCTTTTTCACTTAGATTTTAAAATAAAAAAGTCNCTTAAGGGGGATTATCTGACAGTAATCTAGTGAGACTCCCCGCGGTGATAGATCGATCTAAAAGTTGTGAGAACAGAGCCTAAGTTTGTGTAAGACCATTCTTTACACAATTATTATTATTTATCAAAAAAAGTTTTATTCTGTACATTAACATATTGGGGTAAACAGTTTTTAAAAATAGAAGTCCTTAAAAATGGCGCACTTCATTATAATTTACAAAGTCAAAGTTTCTTAGAATTTCTTACCATCTCAGGCTTTCAGATTTTTTTTTTTATTGACTTATCATTTTAAATTTATTACCTCATTATCCAAATATAATTTATAATATTTGAAAAGAATTCAAACCTAATTTACTAACCAAAGTGTTGATTTTTTTTTCCATTTCCCCTGGCAAATTGAATTTGTCTTTAGCATTATGATGTGGATGTTAGAGTGTATTCCCATAGATTTAGATCGATCCATCTAGATCAACCTAACTCACTGGGGGTTTCACGCTAAATTGATGTCAGCCGAGCACGCATGGTAGCTAATCATCCCCTTACAGCTTTTAGTAGGCGGGACAGACACTTAAGCCGGCTAAGCTGACAGTAATCTACTGAGACTCCCCACAGGGATAGATCGATCTAAAATCTGTGGGAATGGGGTCTTAGTTTGTGCCTCAGGTAAATTGTTGCCTAAATATGTCACCACCAGCAGAGACACTGTGCCACATACAGTGTATTGACAAGACTAAGTACATTCAGCCTAATAAAGCAATATATTTTAAAGTGAATTATAAGTGATTGAATAAATCTTAAAGAAGGGGTTCTGCAAAGGACCAAATGAACAATTGTTTTTGTGAAAGTAAAAACAAATTTGGTTTGATAAAAGGGCCATTTAATTATTTATCAGTGTAGGAGGGTTTTACTGTTTGGAAGGCAACTGAATAAGTATATCACAATATTTATTATCACAAAGGATTTTTACCCTCTGAATCTCTCTGCAGAAGTATTCCTATTCATTTAGTTCAGGAGGATTAGAATCAGATGCCTTTGGTTGCATTCTCTCTTCTTGTTCTAAATAATGAGATCAGACATAAAATTGTTGAATAGAAGGCAAAAAATTACTAAGAGATGGTGAAATGCTCATTTCAGAATGTACGGGGATGTTTTCTGGGAGTGGCGGGGATGTTTTCTGGGAGAGCCGTTAGTTAGCATTGACAGGAAACACGGACTGTAATTAAGTGTATATACCCCCTTGTTTAAGGTCAGGTAAATAACTCTCACACAGGTGTATAATTACAGTAATGGAGATGAGGGGATATTGAGATAAGGGCTACTGGATCTGTGTATATATAAAGTTATGGAGATGTCATCTCACTTGTTATCAGAGGGTGAGAACTGGGGAGAAAAGCATCAATCTTGCAGGAGAGGAAAGGGGGAGGGGTGTTTAAAAGAAGGCGGTATTTAGAGCTTGAGATAGGTGATTAATCGTGGTTGTATAGAGAAATGAGAGTGATAGCCATCTCTTGTCTTCACAGAGATAAGGGGCTGAAGCTTGGGGACATGGGAATGTTAGTCAGAGTACTTGATGTCACAGAACAGGTACTAGGGCCAGACACACTGTGGAGTGTGGTATTAATTGAAGTTTTGAATAAAAGATGACAGGGGCTCCAAACCCGGCCCTCCCCAATTACATATTACAGATATAAATAGTGTGATTATATTAAGAACACAACAGTTTGTACAAATTATATTCAGTGTGTAAACTTTGTCCAAGATTCCATCTACTATTATGACTTGATAAGAGGCTGCAATGAATTATTTATGTATATTGTTTACTATTCATGTGTGTTGAAATGCAAATGTAAGAAATAAGTGATGCAGAGAAATACCTTAAATAGAGGCTAAAATTAGCTTATGATTCATAAAACATTTGAAAAAAAAATGTTTTTGATTATGTTTTATGTAGGAGGAGGAACAAATGTTACATGAAATATAATTTCCATGTTGATTTGTGAAGCATTTAATGATAAGAGGTCTGGAGTAGAAAAAAAGTTGTACATAAAATATGTTTCAAGTCCCTCGGTGTTTCTGTTGTTATTGTTTGTTCAGTTGTTCAGCAATGTCATTATTGTGGAACTAAAAGGGGAGGAAGTTGCTAGCTTTCTATGTGTGACCCAGAAGTAGTTGAGTAAATGTCAGAGAGCAGACTTCTACACCGCTTTTTATTTTGCCATCTCGCAATTAATCTTGAAAATGGCCATACATTTCAAAGTGTTATTTATTTAGACTCAGTACAGCAGAAAG